CGAAAATATGCGCATACCAGTATGGTACATTTTGCGCTTTTCTGACATTTCCTTGCGCGTACGGCAAATTTATATACGATCAAGTCAAACATATATCTGACCAAACTATTTGTTTTTTTACTTATCACATATAAATTTTGGTTTCAGTATGAGTACATCCCGGTCGCACGCAATATAAGTCTAGTAAATTGTACTATTAGCACGCTATATTATTGACCCAAAATTTTCTGCGTGTACAGAAAAAGTAAATTCGAGATATTTGATCTCCTCTTCACCTTTTATCCTCCCAATCCGCTCTTGACCTTCTCCAAACACTTATCTTAAGATTGAAGTACTGATTATGTCATTTTATCTCACTTCTTGATATTCACTTGATAAACCACAGATAGTTTTGTACACAAAATCAACAGTTTGGTGTAAAAAATATTGCAAGGTAACATAATGTTTAATGTTTTCATGATTCCCGGCACGTACCATGGTACCTTAAATATCGGCATTCATAAATTTATTCATATTGATATATTCAACGTGAATAAGACAAGCGTTGCTTCTGATCGATACGGTACTATGCACTGTTACTTTCGATCGCGACCTGCTCAAGAAACGATCATATAACAAATACCAATCTTTCGTTACTGTATTGTAGATACATTTGTAACGCATAATACTTCGCTGAATACCTTGCATTATATATATAAAATATGTACGCGAAGCTTTAGGAAAAAATCAAGAGAAGTTTAAGGAAGCACGTTATGCAATGTTATTGTTATCATATACTTAGAAATAACTTATAAATATACTTATAGTATCTACTAATTTACTAATTAACCGATTGTATGTTGATTACGTTTTAATTGTGAGATATGAGAGAATAAAAAGAATAGATTCTGGAAATAGGCTAGATTATAAAATTTATTTAAATTTAGCAGATAGGGGGGACAGATAGGCCAAGAGAAATAACGCAGATACACGGGAAAAGAATTTTGCGTTAGAAATGGTTCACTGAAATTTTGAGTTATTTTAATATATATGTTGACTTACCATTGAATTTCTGTACTTTTTAATACATTCCCCATGTTAAGGTAACATAACATTTTTTACCGTGTAAGATAAGATGATGTAAATTGTTGAAAATGAGTAAATGTATGTACAAGCCGAAAGCGATCCAAAGCTGGGAGACGTGGGTTTGAGAATAAATAAATAATATACGAGAAGCGTTGTACACCTCCTGAACAAAAGTATCGTGAGTTCATAAAAAACGGTACCTCCGATCGAATCGCTATATTTATTATTATCTCGTGTGTGTGCGTGTATGTCCCGTATCTCGAGCAAATAACCGAGAAAAATACGCGCTATCAGCGGGTAACTGGAAACGTCGTTTCCATTCAGAAATTAAAACACCGAATTTAGAGATACTATGTGATACACGCTTAACCCTTTCGCGGCGAACAGCGCCTTTAGGCGCTCAGCTATAGATGCTCATTCTCAGCGAACAGCGCCGTTCGGCGCTCAGGCAAATTTACCCGCGGCGAACGAACAGCGCCAGATGGAGCCCATCCGGAGCCGCTCTCTTCGTACGAAGGCGCTGTTCGTTTGTTATCAACAACTGCCATTAATGTCCATTAAGTTGTTTTTGACGTGCTAGCAGCATACGCTTCTTGTGCAAAGGTTTTTTTTACATAGTCAAATATTATTATCCACAAATTCGACTCGCGTATTTTGTCCGCGCGGTCGATCTGGCATCGGCTGCTTAGAGCGCAACTCTTTCCAGAGCACTCCGCCGCGAAAGGGTTAAGAGTAAGAGTGGGTGCGACTGTGAAGCGCGGAAGAAGCCCGGATCCGGGAGAAGACGCGAACGCGAGTCTCGCGAGTTTCGCCGGTGATTACCCGCGACGTTTCTTCGCGGGCGCTCGCGAGGCGCCTGAGACTCGCGTCGCCTGAGACTCGAATCGTCTCGATCCCGAGAGGTACAATATATATCTCGTAGTCGCGTATGAATGCAACCTGAACGCAATTACCACTGACGTAAGGCGAAAACATCTCAGACGCGCGACTCCCAGATTACGTAAGGCAACAATTTTTATTCACGCAACGTACCGTTTCAAGGTAATTCGACTCGCGGAAATGGAAATGGTGCACGCACACAGATGCACCACAGCTGCCCGCCGCGTTTCCCATTTATCCGGCCGATATATCCATGAGTGATAATTCGCGAGTGAGCAAAATGTTTGCGCTCGCTCGTTTCCTGTAAACGCGTTACGTGTACACACACACACACACACACACACACATACATACGCATACGAATGTTTTCACAAGCACGTGCCATCGGGGCGTGCATCAATACAGGAAACGTACGCAGAAAGGAGCGTATAAATATTAATAAGAGAAAAAGCGTCATTAAACGCGGCTCTCGTATTGACATCCAGCGGCTCTCGTCACGCGCGTTCCGCGTGTCATTTCGCGCCTCGGTCTTTCTCAGCCGAGAAACGCACTCCCGGGCCTTACGTCAGCGAGAAAAGCTCGTCGCGAGCGCACGCGCGCGCCTACGGTACATAACACGATGGTTATGTATTTATGATAATACTTCTCACCGGCTGATACGGTTGCGTGCGAGTTGCGAAAAGCGACCGGAGTCTCGGCTATTTCTCGCGTATTTATGATACAGACCCGATTCGTACGGAATCGGGTCTAGGATATTTCTAATATGTGGGGAGATCGATTCTCGCAATGCGCCGGTTGCGCCGGATCGCGTTTCATCGGTTGAGCCTCACGGCAACACGTGCCGTGAAAATTGCGCGTGCCGCGATCGAAATTCCATCGGCAGCTAGTCATGTGTCGCGAGATTGTTTATTCATACGTAATTCGTATCATTCGATCTAAGCGGTTTCCTCGCCAGCGAATTCCCTCGCCCCGTGTCTCTTTTTCTCTCTCTCTCGAGAGAGAGAGAGAGATCGTCGAATACTCTCCTTTTGATTCCTTTTTGGGAAAATTTCGCTATAATTCACCGTCTCAATTCTCCCGTATTTGCCTTCTAACTGTATCCGAGAGCAATTCGAATACCATTAGAGACGGAGAACATTAAATTCAGCTGCTCTGTAATTTTGTAGAATGCCAATCCCCCTCCTCCTCCTGGAAATAGCTCGCGCGAAAAGCGAAAAGGTTGGGTATATACACTGAGATGGAAGAAATATTTCGAAATTTCTCTGTGGGATATATAACGTTTATTTCACGGGAATAATGAAATAAATCAATGCTGTATCCCTCGCAAATAAATTCTCAAGTACTTGTTTCTCAGTGTACTGAGCGCACGGGCGAGGAACGAACAGCGAATGTAAATTTTCGTTGACACAATTTGGAAAATGTGCACGCCACAATGAATTGGAAGCGGAACGTTTCGGGCTGACTCATTCATAAGGTGCACTGAGAAACCAGTTTGATTGCGTCAATCGGGCAATCAAACGCGATTTGAATTAAGGAAAATTCCTGGTTATAAGAATCATACTTGGAACTTATAACCAGAAATTTTCTCTCCTTCTGTCAAATCGCGTTTGTTTGCCCGTTTTTCGATTGATACAAACTGGTTTCTCAGTACGGCTTATCGAAAAAAGTTGGTAACGCATATAAGTTTAGACGCGAATGTATATATTCATTTTACACATTCGCCGCTAGTTCGTTGTTTGTTCGTTCAGTGTATTGAAAAGCCCATTTAGTTGACTGAAACAAAATTTGATTTGGATATTCGCGAGGTAAAAACGCGAGGTGAAGACGTACGTTAAGGTGCGCTGAGAAAGAAAGACTTAAAAATTTATTTGCAAAATATAAAGTTTGTTTCACAGAAATAAATGTTTATTTAAACACGGCGGAATAAAATTTTATTTTCAGCAAATAAATCAATGAGATAGCAAATAAATCAAAATATATTCCACCGTCACAAATTCTTTTCTAATCAATAAATATCAAAGAATATATCACAAGAACTATTTACTTCGTAAAATTTCAATTTCTTTTTCTCAGCGTAAGTATACTCATTGAAAAATCCATTCAGTTTACTCGAACAAAATTTGGTTTAGATATGAGCGAATAAATGTTTCGGTTGTGAAAACCAACATTTGGTTCTCTGAAAAGAATATGAAGAAGGTTGGGTTTGGGGGAACCAAATCTTTGGTTCAGAAACCCAAATTGGTTCTCACAACCGAAATATCCCAGTGAACACCAACTAACAGTGACAATATTATAATTTCCCAGTCAACGATGTAAGCGCAATAAAACACGCGTTATATTGCATTCACATTGTTGACTGGGAAATTATAACATTGACGTTATGTCACTATTAGTCGATATCTACTGGGATTCGTTCGCCCATAACCAAGTTTTGTTTGAATCGACCCAATAATATTTCTCAGCGCGTACACCCACCTTAACGCATGCCTTCGCTTCGCATTTGCCTCGCTCGACGCGTCCCTTGCGATTTTTTATCCCCTATCAAAAGCATTTGCTTCATCGGTCTGCATGATTCATCACCGTGGTGCACTCGCGCGTCGTTGGAGAAGGAACGAAACTGCGCGGCGTTAAATCCGGAGGCAGAGGAGGCGGTTGTTTTGGTCGCCGGCTTTCGCCGGGGCGAGCGGCACCTGAAATACCGGACTCACTCGCGGCTCGCGTAGTAAAGATAGTAAAGGGGTCCGGAGGCGCGGAGTAGTCCTCTCCATCTGCTCGGAGACGTAGAGTACTGCTCCATCGACTCGACGTAATTCATCCCCGCGGAGTCCTCAACAGCCGTTCTCTCTCTCTCTCTCTCTCTCTCGTTCTCGCTCGCTCGTTCTCCGAGGCGCAGGGGAAGGCAGGTATTCGGCCGAGCTGTGGGGCACAGAGGAGGCGGTCGGCGGCGGGCTCGAGCAGCCAGGTAAGAAAGCAGGCGAGCGAGTCTTCGGCGGAGGTGGGAGGTGGGCAAAGTGGAGGTGAGCGTAAAGTGAGTTTTCGCTCGCGGCGTTCGCTCGCTCGCTCGTTCTCTCGCTCGCTGCTGCACAGAGGCGAGTCGAAGCGAGTCGGCGGGAGTGGACGTCGTCAGTCGGCTGCGCGGTTCCGTGGTGTGCCGCGGTGGTTACATCCTCGTCGCCGCAGAGTGTGCTTTTTTACCTGCCGATCACGCGCCGTCTGCTACGACAACTGGCCTCCCTCTCTCTCTCTCTCTCTCTCCGGTCGTGTAACGCAAACATCCGGTCGGTCGGTCTCCACGAAAATGGCCGCGTGCTGAGAGAAGCTAATCTCCAGCTCGACGACGAAGAACGTGATCTCCTCGGCGGCTGCGGCCGAGCTTGCGGTGCTGTTCCCGGATTCGAGGGTTTATCTGCCGACGATGACGTCGGCGCGCGGACGTCTCGGATAAGGTCCTCCCGGGAGCCGCCAGGAACCGTCGGGGAAGAGCGGGAAGCGAGCCAGGTAAGTTGGCTCGGAGTTTCAGCCTCTTGTATACGGTCGAAGGACTCGAGCTCGCTCGATGCATATCCCGTGAATAATCCTTGCGCGACGCAGCGCTGAATGAAAAGCCCTGGCGCGTGATAACATCGGCTGCCGAGACGAGGTCGACGGCATCCGCCGTCCTCGGTTTACGTTCTCTCGGAGGAACACGCCGTGTATTGGCCGCGGGGATCCGTCATACGTGACGGAAGTGTACGCAATGAGAGTCGAGTGTCACTCCTCGGCAACGGTTACGAAACGTTTTGCAGATCCGCGCCTTTTGTCCCACCGTGCAGCTCGGGCTGTTTCCTTTCCTTTCTTTTCTCTTCGCCAAGCGAATCGGACACGAAAAGGAGCTCCCGAATAAGCCGTCGTTTTCGTTCCTCACTCGATCCTGCTACTCGAGTGTAGCTACGGGGAAGCCACCCCCTCGAGGGTAGAAGCGTACCGTGAGATTCAAATCGCGAAGATACCGAAGTCAGAGCTCAGCGTTTGTAGTTAGGCGAAATTAACATAACGCGTCATTTTTCATCATTGCGTGGATAAATCGAACGGAGCGTGAAAGAAGGGTGTTTTTTCAATTTACGGGCACGTCAATCCTCGCGACAATTCGCGCCTCGTTCGCAGCTCCGTATCGTTGAAGCCGTTGGAAAATGTTGCGAACGAACGACTGACTTCGCGGAAAATAATTGCGCGGTAACTCGTAATGATCATTTTGAATCAAAAAATGTACGGTAGTCTCTCGCTCAGCTGTTGTGGAAAAACGTTCGCTTATTATATAAGAGAAAAGATTATATCGTCATTTTTTTATACACGATAAAAAACATTCCGCACTTGTATCAAAATCGATCCTTGCAAAACTTTTGCGTTATATTTTTAATACACCCGTGTGTTAATTTAACTTATTTTATTTATGCTATTTCAGTATTTTGCGTTGAGTCGATATTCAAAATGTGCAAATGTTAAAATAATACTTGTAAATATTAAAATAACACTTGTAAGTGTTAAAATAACATATTTTACACTTCAGTGTCGATTAACATGTATTATAAATGTTAATTTCTTACATAATATTTGTATTATTTTTCAACATACTCACCTTATATCAAATTAACGTAAAAATTTATGCGGACCGTTTGAGACATATGAAATGTGTGTTAAATGTAACACACATTTTTTTACCGTGTAAAAAAAACTAGTCTTAAATCAAGAATAGATATTCTCATATATAAGCAAGAATATAATCTTATAAGATATTTAGTCTTGAATTGAGTTCAAGTGATACTTGCATCGATATAAATTCGATCAAATCAAGGCTAAAAGCCCCGTGAGAAGATTACGATATTCTTGCTTATACATGAGAATATCTATTCTTGATTTAAGACTAATTTTATTCCCCCGTGCAGGGGACTTCAACGCATGGAATATAACGCAGACAATGGGTCTTCATTAGCATCGGTCGGATTAATAGCGCGGACGTCGCGAATAATAAACCGCTCTATTCGGCGACGCAATGCCGGCGGGTTTGTTTATTTCGAAGGGAAAAACGAAGCCGCGTCGCGCCGGCGACACGCGCGGGATGTTAATGAGTTCGACGACGCTCGCCGGAATCCAGCCAGCTCGCTTTCCATAATACATCGCTGGAGCAGCGTTCTCCATAAACGTCGCGCACGGGTTCCCCTCGCAACCGCCGCCGCCGTCTCTCCTCCTTTCTCGTCGCGCTGTGTGTTACCGCCTCCTTCTCCTCTCGCGTTCGCGAGATAACATCGCGACCGCCGGTCCAGGTACGAGCCGCGAGGTGCAAACGAGCGCGAGATCGACAGAAACGCCCGACCGGCCAAGGCCGCTCGAAGAATGTCGTCGAATTATTCGACACCGAGCCTTATAATCGTCAATCGGCGTCGCGGAGTCTGCTCGAGTCTCCATAGTTTTCTTCTTTTCTTCTTTCTTTTTTCTTCCTTTCCGCCCGCCACGACTCGCTTTGCAATAGGATGCACCGGTTGGCGAACGGTCGAACGAAAAACATCCTTGTACGAATATCGATATCGCAAGTGCACCGAGAAAAAGGTTTCCTCGGGTTTAGTGTTTCTATTTATTTTCCTAAAATTTGTTTCATAGAGACAACATATATACTTGTACGAAATACTATTTATCTGCGTAACAATTTTATTGTCTTACTCAAGAAAACTTTGTTATTTAACAAAAGGAACGCTATTATTTGAAATAATACCTTTTAACCAAATAAAATATTATTTGGTTACGATAAATATATGAAATGAAACAAATAGTTTCTTTATGAGAAAATTATCTTTCGTTTCAAACAAATTTTTTATTTAAGATAAAGATACATATTCGTTGAAAAGTCTAACAATCGTACTTATTAATCGAAGCATTAGTTTCTTTGGAGCATGCCAATGATGAGATTTGTTTGGATGCAATAAAATTTATTAAATGTGAAGAAACCTTTTTCTCAGTGTGGAGCCTTGTAAAAGTAGCTGCTTCGTTAATTGAAAATATCTCCTTCGCGCGTAGCTGCCGGATAGAGTTCTCGTATTAATATCGATTTGAATGTTTTTCTTAATGCCGACTTAATGAAAAAAATTAGTGACAACAAACAAACTTCAAGATGTCGAAATCATCGACGAACAGTTGTTTTAATTTGCATCTAGGTAATAATCATACTCAGTAAAAAATATTTTATACTTGTAAAAATATTTTATATTTAAAATCGGTCATGGTTAAAATTTTCGCGTTAAATTTTTAACATACTCGTGCATTAATTTGACATGTTCACATCGACATATTCACTTTGTATTAAATCAACGCGAAAATTTGAGTGGATCGTTTGGGACGTGTGAAATGTTAAAGACAAAACTTTTTACTGTGTAGACAAATGATACCATGCGTCTTATTTTGCAAAAGTATAATGAAAGTAGCATAGTGAAATTATCCTAGTAGCAGAATTCATTGGCGCAATACGTTGGTCCAATATTGGTTACATTGGCATTCATCGGGGATACATTGAGCGAACGTTGTTCAATAGGATATTTTAAGGTTCTCTCTTCAGTGGCGTCGTTGAAAATATTTTCGTCGCGTGTTTATTAGCTGCCAGATGAGATTCCACTATTAACGTCGACTTGAAATTTTTTTTAATGCCATTATACGAAATTAATGACAACAAACGAGCTTCAAAATATCGAAAACATCGGTGAACAGTTTTTTATCCTGCGATTACGCAATCATTATCGATATGTGATGCCGCCGTGCATCTTGTTTTGCATAAAAGTGTAATGAAATTACCATTCTTTCCTTAGTGGCAAATGCAGGCATGGCGATTGCACACCGCTGTGGTGCATCTGCTTCGTTACGAAATACAAATTCCACGCAGGCAGAAGCGTCGAGCCTCGGCTGGTCGTCTTGTTATCCAACGCATCGCGAATCCTCGCGTTCACGTCTCACGCGAGTCTGCGATTAAACCGGCGACGCGGTTACACCTGTCAGAAAACCTGCCTTGTCGTGAGAACACGCGGAAATTCTCAGGCGACGGCGGGTCCGGCGCGACAATGGACGCGAAAAGGCATCGAAATCGCGGCCGTCCCGCAGCGATTGGGATTCGGAACCGAGGGGACACCTGCGCCACTTCCGGCTTCCGCCTTCTCCTCTTCTTCGCGCGTTAAGCTCGCGTCGCTGCGGATGCGTCAGTGAGAACGGGAAGTCAACGAGAGATCAACGGCACCGCCGTTCGCTGGAATGCCAGGTAGCTTTCCAACACGTACCGAAGGAGAACCGTTCCACGTACGTTGCGGTCTTAATCTCCCACCTTTCCTTTTCGCTCTTGCCGCCGCCGCTCCCCCC